GATAACAAAACTGCAAGAATATTTTCTGAAGATTAGAATCTTTATCATCAATAAGGATGCATATTGCATATGGAAACAAAATTTTGAATTCCCAGGAGAAGTGACAGCCACTACTGGCCAATATCAATCACATTGTTGGCTCTCACACTGCCTAAAGCATTTTCCCCCAGATGATGCTCTCCAAAAGAAGGGCAAGGAAGGGCAAAGTCACATTTACAAGGGTGTGAAAGTAATAAGACAGATGCTCTATTGCAGGACGTGGTGTTTCTGCACCAAGTCTCTTGCTTGCTCAGCTGAATCTGGTTAGATGTGAACAAGATGTGCTGCTGTCTATCCAGCACTGTGCTACACACTCAGATTATCTCCAGATCAGAGTCCTGCTTGGAGCATAGGTGGAGCAAGTCTGTAAAAGACTGTGTGTAAAAGGCCATAAATCTTGGCTTCCCACGGATAAAACTCAATATTCCAGGGCTAAATATAGGCCTAAAGCTCTTATTCAGGCACGGCCCTTGTCAAAGCGAGTACGATTGGTCATGTCAAGCTGTTCTCAAGACAAACACTCGGACCTTCTCTAGCCTTCAGACCATCTCTAATAGCACCATCAGCCTTTCTTTTAATGCTTTAAAACAGCAAGGAGGCTGTCTCCTCTCTTCAGGAATCTTTCAGGGAGTCAATATATTAATGGAGATCATGCCCAGAAAGTTCTGGGAAAGAAAGTTTTGTCTGACTCCACTTTTCTGCTCAAGCCTTTCCTCATATCCACATTTCCTTACCTGCTCGGTCCTCCCACCCAGATTAATCAAAGTTATTCATGCAGCCTTTTAGGCTACTCTGCATATATAGTCACATTAAAATAATGTTATCTTTTATTTCACATTTTCCAGTTTATCTCAATGCAAGACTTTTCACAAAGTCTTTTACTTTAGAAAAAACACATAGGTTGTTCTCCTAAACTGCATAGACAGATACTTTTACACTGAAGATGGTTCATGCAAGAGCTTTTGCTAAAATAAAAAGGTGCAAATTAAAGCAGACTTCATTATTACAGTGAAAATTAATCTGTTTACAAACCTAAATGGGCACCCAGTTTGCTTTCTTCAAAGCTCTCTGTCAAGTAATACTTTTAATAGCAAAGACGCAGATGCTAGCAAATGTGTTTAGAAAAGGCCCCTCTCACTGCACTTCTTTCCATGGCAGAAGACACAGATATTTGATGTTTTCACCACTAATCCAAGGCATGAATCATCTCTGTTATCAGTAAAGGTGGGGGAAGCTGAAATAACGAATCACACAAAAACCTCTGAGGCTGCAATGTTTAAATACAGCTTAATGGCAAAAACCCCCACAGCTTCCTCGAGCTGAGCGTCAGCGCTGCTTCCCCAAACGCTGTGGTTTGTACCTATCTGCACATGTAGCACTTCCTCTCTATCTACTTACAGATATCTACCTTCCATCTGCAGCCTCTGAAAGTTTAACTTCCACGTTTGGCTAAAATAACTCTAGAAGCTGAAACCTACGACCTCAAAGAGTCTGCTCTCTAGGCAGGGAAACCTTACTGCTGTACTAGCAAGCACTTACGGCCACATGGTTCAGGTTTGGATCTCACATTGGCAAGACCCAGCAGCAAACCCACTGAATTTAATGAAATGGTGCTGACATAGTTAAATCAGGATCACAAAGCCCACTTTTGTCCTATCTTCAACCTGGAGCTCACTCCAAAGGTGGTGAATGTCATTCTTCCCCATTTCCGGGCCATTTCATGCTCTGTGCTACCACCTACAGTCCATTTGCGGCCATTTCCGATAATTAGCTTGGAAACAGCAGAAAACGCTGCCGCTCTCCCTGGCAAGTGCACACAGCACGAATCCAATGCCTGTTGTCCAGGCAGACTTCGGTGAAAGGTCATCAAAAAGAGGATATTCAGGACTAATAGAAAAAGCAAACTATAGTGGGAACAAGTTGGAAGAAGAGGTTGCATTTGCACTTGTAGCTTTGCTGCAGAATCTGTGATGCTGACAGGGCCTGCTGAGCATCTTCGCACTCGTCTGGCATCTAAAAACCTTGTGCATCTTTGGAAAATAAAGCCTTGCTTTGGTAGAGTGCTTTCTTTGCTACGGCTGTCTGGTCTGCTTCAAAATCAGATGTTGTGCCTTGCAAAGGTTTATCTGCCTTACATACACACACGCTGGGGTCTACCACAGCCAGCACTCCCACACTGGGTTTCCCTTCCTCCTTTCCACCCTTTGCAGCTGCAGAACAGCATGGCAGATTCAATAACAAAATAATAGGAAAAAAATGCTTGCTTTGGTTTCCAAACTTCAACCTAATAAAACTGTTTTCTCATTTGTTTCTTCTTTTTAGAGTCCAAACGTCCCAGGAGTTACGAACACTCAGCTCCACACAGGGGGAACACGAGATTTTACAGACTCCAGATTTTAGTACTCATTTTTTTTTTCCGTGATGACTTGTGTGATGAGATACGATCGTAAAAAGGAGCTAAGAAGGCAACCTGAAGCTAGATCTCATTCCTAATTTTGCGATTGCTTGGTTTTCCAGCTCTGAGCGAGCTACTAAGCTTCCCATCCTCTGAAATACAGGATTATGGAATGTGAACAGCCACATAAAATCTATGAAATCTTCACAGGAAAACTTTTTGAGACTGTATCTATCATGCAATCTCTGTCTCTTTCTAGAGGTGTGTGTTTGTGCCTCTGTGTACGTGTGTGTGTGTGTGTATATATATATATATATATGGAGAAAAACTCCTTCAGTATTTAAATTAAAAAGTAATATTTTTTCAAAAAGCAGCTCTAATCTGATAGCATCTTTCAGTTTATATACAATAGCACCACTGAAATGCAGACATTACGTAAAGGATGAAGGAGCAAATGTTTGGATAAGGATGTCACAACGGCAGCCACTTGTGTAGAAAACCACTTACTCCATTAAATGTTACGGCCAAGCCCTGAAGTTTCGCTCTGCCTCACTTTCCACACATAAAAACAGAATCTTACATGGTATTATGAGTTTGATTTGGAAGCAGATACCTTCTAAGCACCTAAGACTCTGCTAAGCAAAGGATGAGTTTTTCATCTGACATCTCAAGTCTCCAGCTCCATCTCACCCCATTTGAGAGTCTCACCCCATTTGGGACGTTATCAGCACTTCAGAAGGGAATCAGCGCAGATCATCTGTCTGCACAGCAGCTGCCTCAGCTCACAGCTTACCCACACACACATCACAGCAAATCCAGCTTCTGCTGCAATTACGGAGCTCCCAGGGAGCAAACACGCTGCCTGCTTTGCCATCTTGGCTGAGGAGTGATAACACTCAGCAGATGGTTCTGTAGAGTAGTAATGTTTGAGGAGCTTGTAGATAGAAAGATCTGCAGAAAGCAGCAATTCTGAGTTTAGAGAAAGAAGTCTAAACTACAGTCGCTACACACACAGAATTCCTACCAAAATCAGTAAGAGCAGAGGAATCGTGGCAAGATTTTTACCTTAAAGGCGGCATTCTAAAGGCAGATCTCCAGTTAATCACTGAAGCCATTAGGAAAAGTGGAGGAAAATGCAGTCAATTCAAGAGAAAATCCTTCCCAACATAACAGCATGTTTATATTATTTGAGAAAGAACAATTTTAGTTTTCTGCCACTTGAAGCATTCCTTTTATAAGCATCAGTTTCACATAGAAAACTTACAGAACTCCTAAATGATTTTTCCACCAGGAAATTAGTCTGATTTCATTTTGTTCTTCAGTGCACCTACTCTTTCAAACTTAATGAAATGTAATATATTATCAGTTAACAGGTACCCTCAATAGTTAACAGGTACCTCATTCTTCTGCAACATTATGTTAGGAAACCAACTAAGCACAGGCAAAAGTGCCTAACAAACACAAGTGATTTACTGGCTAGTGTCTCCCTGGTGAAAAATGTTTCCAAGCTTTCTGAGCTACAAGGGACATGACTCCTCACTTCACTCATCCCCTGAAAAGAAATCTTCAGTAATCAGGTTCGTATTGTAAAAGCCACAATAGCATCTTGATCCCCACTCAAAAAGATGACTGCTGGGTTCCTTAAATTCAACACTGAAGAAATAAATCAAGTGTCAAGCCAGGTGTTGGCCTTTTTATTCCTTTTTTTTTTCCAAGATAAGAAATAACAAACAAAAAAACTGAGTGATCAAAGTAAGATTTTAGCAATCCTTGAGCCACAGAGAATCACAAAATGTAAGCACGAGACATGTCAATCTTTTTGCAGACCATATCACTGTCTCCTCTTCAAAACAACTCTCCATTTATTTCTAGGTCTTTTCATTCAAAGTTGTCCCAGGTTTGCCAACATTGCACTTTGGGTCTAAGTTAGCAAGCAAAGTCAGAGAGTCCTCAGATAACCCTCCAAAACGTACAAGGCCTGATTCCCTTCCCCATCCGTGAGTCACATCGCTGGGTCTGCTGCAGAGTGAGAACAGCCTCCTCCGAGCAACCTCAGCCCCATCTCCAGCACCTCAGACGGGGGCATCCCATCCCGGAGCAAGGCGCCCGGCAGGAGCACAGCGCAGTACTCCCAAGAGCGGGGCTGCTTCCCGAGGGGACGGCGGCAGCTCCCGCGGTACCTGCGCTCTCCCAGCGCCTGTGGCAGCAGGACGCAGCGCGGCTCCCCCAAGCCCTCACTCGCAGCAGAAAGGCAGCCTGCCCCCAAGGCGAAACCTGCCCTCCCACGAGCACGTTCGGGTTCCCTCTGCTAAATAACGCCCAAAAGCGGGGAGATCATTTTTCTTCGTGGCAGGCGGCAGGCTGTCAAGGCACCGCACGGCATTTCTGGGCTCATCTCGTGGCCGCGTCTGCCTGCGGGATGTGGGACCGAGGACCCTCCAAACCCGCCGTGCCCCACACGGCCCGCGCGGGACGCGCAGCCCCCCTCTCGCCGCGGCTCCGGGGATGCTCCCAGGACTCCCGTCCCGTCCCGTTCCGTCCCGTTCCGCCCCGTGCCGGCACTCACCCCACAGCAGCAGGACGGAGAGCTGCCGCCCGCGGCTGCCGGGCGCCTCCATCCCGGCGCGGGGGGCGGCGAGGGGCCGCGGGGCGCGGAGCCCGCATGGGGCGGCCGCTCCGCAGGCGCGCAGGGCCCGGCCCCGCCGCGGGGGCTCCTCCTCATGCCCCCCACGGCGGCGGGGGCGGCGCGGAGGGGGCGCAGCCCGCCCGCCCCCGGGCTCCCGGCGCCGCTGCTCGCGGAGGGCAGCGGCCTGGGCGGGAGCTGCGCGCGAGCGCGTGCACGGAGCGCGCCCGCGAGGCGTGCACGTGCGCGCCGGCTCTGCACGGGTGCGCGTGGCCGTGCAAGCGCGTGCGCGCGCGGGCACGGGGAGCAGGCGCGCAGGTGCGCGCGCGCCGAGCGGCCGGTCCCGCCTGCGGGCGCTGCGGGGAGCCGGGGAGCACTCGCACCCCCGGGCCCTGCAGCCCGCGCTGCCTCCCCTCGCCTGCTGCCACGCGTGTCCCTGGCGGTGGCGACCAGCGCGTGAAGGGCTGGCGGCCACTGGGGTTGTCCCCTCTGCATATCCCCCATGCACAGCCCCGTGGGCGTGCTGGCACCCACACAGCAGCTTCCTTGGTATTTGCTCTCTAGCTCTCCTAAGCTGCTGCTGATGCCAGCGCAGCAGAGCCGGGAGCTTAAAGAAAACACTTAGTGTGTTTTCCCAATGCTGCTTCAGCGCTGTATTGCATTGTCCGGTGGGAAAGTGGCACCGCTCCTGCTTTTCATCAGGATTTGGGGCTGCGTTCCTGGAGCTCGCCCTCGAGGAATCACCTTCCCCAGCAATGAACCACCAGACTGAGAAGCTCCTGATGAAGCCTCTTCTGGGCTGAGTATATCTGCACTGCTAAGTTTGAGCAAGAAGCCAGAAGGGTGTTCGAGGTACAGGAAAGTTCAGCCTCAGAAACGGTGTTTCAGCACAACATGACGTTACTGCTGTTGGTAAAGGCCAGCTATACCTCAAAACTGTAAACTCTAAAGAAAACTAATGGCCTAGATGAGAGCATATGCACCTTTCTGTATCTAACTGAATTGTTTGCACTGACTTTAAACATCGCCATGGAAGAGCAGCTTCCAAACTCTCTGGCAACTATCCTATGCTTTGCACGTGTATCTGAGGGCAAAGTACTCAAAGCACAGACTAAAAGCAGCCATCTAATTTACTCTCTTATCTAGGCAGAAAGCAATGGGAAAGCGTGAGGAACCACAGAGAAGGTTTAGAATCCAATGTGTTGAAATACCTCCATAGGTGCTTAAGTGTGTATATCACAATGATGTGTGTACATTACCAAAGAGATTCAGGCAGCACTTCCCGTTTTATATCTATGGCAGTTGCAAATGAGGATGCAAATAAAACCTTCAAGGTAGAACAATAGCGAAAATATATAGACAAATGCACTGATTTAGAAAAGCTCCAGTGATAGTAAATCACAAGCAAACTATACTAGCCTGTATTTTCAGCAATGTGTACCAAAATTAGTAATTCTGATGTGCAAATACACCTGAACAAAATCGTAGCATTAGAACTAGATCTTGTTTTTCACATAAGAACAGACACGGATTAGAGGAGTACACACACGATGTACACACACACTTATGTGACCTAAGACATACATAAGACACACATGAGTTTGCTCTGTGATTTCAGAGGGATCCTTGATGCTGACAGTTAAGCATCTAAGCGATATGTAGGTACTTCAAAATGCTCTCATTTTCTGAGAGGCTGAGCTATCCAGCTCTTAACCTGGCAGCGCTCCCATGGGCAGAAAACATGTACTCTGTTTAGAGGAATTGGAACATTCAGATATTTCATTAGTTTTCTGGTATTTAAAAGTGCATTCATGAAAAAAAAGGGAAAAGAAGGAAAAAAGAGAGAAATGGAAAAATAAAAAGATCAAGCTACTATCATGCACCATCAAGATTAATTTTATGGCTAGTAAAAATGGCTTCAGAAATGTCATGATGGACATCAAGGTAGAGTAGACATATAAATGAATTTACTTGCAGAAACTAAGGTAGTTCATGTGGATTTTATTTGCTGTGACAGGTGATGCCCTCTATTTCGCTCTATGGTTGCATACACCATACCCTATCCTCTAGAAACAAGAAAGATTCTTTTAAAGTAGTATTGTTAATGAATTACACAAAATAGTAAGTGGCAGCAATAGAAAGGATTCCAGACAGAGGCCTTCCAGCTCCTACTCCCTACTTCCAACGCAAGATACATAATGAAGGTAGGAAACATTCCTTGAAAGTCAACAACCACAATCTCTGCTTTTCTAGCAGAAGAATGGGAGGGGAAATTCCAGAGTCAAGGGCCCTCCACCACGATACCTCCCCTTCATGTATGTTGATACGTGGGGGCTCGAGCACGGCAGGACAGCTCAGAGTACGTGACTGGAAGCTGGGCCGTAGGGCTCTTGCCCTGGTCTGCAGCTGAGCTATTGTCGGACTTATCTTCTTCCCGCTCCGGTTTCCTGAGCGGCCGTAGGACGCAGACGCGGCTCACGGCACAAAGCTGTGACAGGTATAGATGGCTAACACGCTTATTCACCCGACTTTTATCCCATCCGATCTGGCTTGTTTTATGGTCTATGGTAATTAAAGGATCTCTTCAAGGGACTATAGAGCTAAACTGTAGCTGAGCTATGACATGCATGATTTTCAACTCTTATCATAAGAAACATCCTAAGATTGTTCTTGAGCCATGTCATACACACTGTGATCTTTTCTTCCTGTTGCGTGCTGCCCATTATCTTTTTGCACATCGGGCAGCAGCGCTAGGGTAAAAGAAAGCCTTTGTAAATTGGCCCAGGCTTAGGAAACAAATCATGCTTCATTTTCAATGTAAATATTAATAAAATACGCACAATGTTCTATTCCTTCCAGACCAAATAAAGCCAATATTAATTTATAGTCTTTTAAACACTTCACTGCAAGGTATGTTTTAAGGGCCCTGAATTTCTACACACAGCGAATGCATTAAGTTCTCTCCTGACAGGCTGTCTGAGAAGCTTGGGAAATGCTAACAGGAAATATGTACATAGTCTCCATACATGGTTGTTTCTCTCAGAATAAGAGAAGAAAGGCTTGTGAAAGGAAAGAAAAGATAAAAGAAGGAGATATATATATGTTACAAATAATAATGCTGCTATAACTTAAAATCTCATACTAATCAAGTTATCCATGGCAATCGAAAGAAAGATTAAAAGATCTTTTTGTAATCCTTCAAATTCAGCTGACTCTGCAGTGACTGGTGAGCAGCCCACAGTAACAATAAACTTACCTGTGACATTATCCTAGTTCAGCCTAAGGATTTCTGACTCTCTTCCACAAGATTGTGATTCAGCCAACGCCATATTTGTATGAAAACGGGCTCATTATCCATTGTAGGTGCATGAAAGACTAATCAATAAGAGATCCTCAAAAACTGCTGACATGGGAGATCTCCACTCCCGCCTCCAAAAAAAAAAAAAAAGAAAAAAAAAAGCATGGTTAAATTGTAGCGTTACATAAAATGTAAAATATTGCTATAGTAAATGACAGGTTATTTAAAGGCACAAAATGAGTGTAAGGCGGGACATTTAACTTTCTTTTTCCTCCCATTATAATTCCTATAGGACTATTGCAGTTCTCCTTATAAAATAAAATAGAAAACAAAACCCACATGAATTCTTCAAGTCTGACTAGTTAATACATTCATAGAGTTATATTTCTATTGTAATACATTATCTTCTTTTAACCATGCAATCTTTACAGCCCCAGGGCAACCACAGTTTGTGCACAGACAAATAATACCTCTCCCCATAAGCATATCTCAGAGCAGCTGCTGAAAATGGCATAAAATTTGAGCCCAGGGAAAAAGATTATTTTGCCATCCAGGCAACCCAGATCTTTGCCATGCAACTGTGCAAAGCTGTGGTCTCCATCATCTGAGGACAAGATAAGATCTAAAGAGACTTTTACTAATGCCATGAGTTTAGTTATATATAAATATTATACATAACGTTCTTGTCCCTTGCTTAAGAAATGGTACATAGGATATCTTTTACTTCTGAACAGGAAATTCAGAAAAAAATAAAATGACAGCGTGCCTAAGATCATATCAGAGATTGTCAGTACCATTGGAAAATGGGAAAGGGAGAAAAGCAAGAGCCACAAAGGCATTTCAATGCTCCCATTTTCTATCCCTGTCACAGATCTTTCACAGATCTAGAACATACTATTCCCCTGTCATCCTTTGATGGCGTATTTTCCATTTGGCAAAGATTAGGATTCCCTCTGAATGCATTAAATAAAGGAGAACAATTATTTTCCCAACATAGAAGTGAAACTACTGCTTGCATTGACTAGTGCAACAGTTACATTTCTGAATTTACTGCACATAAGGGAATTTAGCATCTGCCCAGGTCCTTCTGGCCACAAGCAACTAAGCAGGTAAGTGTGCTGATTTATTACTGCATCTCATCAACCGGCAAAAACTGGCAAAACCTAAAACCTGCTCTCTCCTAGCGCAGCACTACCTGTTCCTGTCCTTTTGCTGCCCCTCCAAAGTGCTGGCATAAGTGCCTATGCTATTGTGCCGTAAGATAGATCACGATACAATTAACCTTCTAAAAGAAAATATGCATTTCAAACATTTCAGGAAGTACAGAAAGGGAATAGGCCATGGACGGAAATGATGAATTCAGGGTTTATTTTAGTAGCACTTGCTACTTCCATTCTATATCAAACAGCAGCGTGTGCTGCTGAAAATGCTGTGTTTAATCTCTGCTTCACTGAGACTTATTCCACATTTTAAAGAAATTTCAACTATTAATAAGGGAATTAATAATATGTATTTATGTGTTAGTTAATATTCAAAAAAAATCCATCCTTAAATAAAAGTATTGCTTTAAAATACAGTAGAAAGGAAGGAAGATTCTCTTTTCAAATGTTCACAATCTATGAGAGGTTTTATTCTTCATAAAGGAAATTCACCCCTTCATATTTCTTAAGTGATTTGCTTTAAAAATCTCCACAGTTTTC